CCCTCACTGCACAGATCAGATTCCTATTGATTCTCCTGTTTTCAGCCTCTCAAGCGTTGGAATTAGAGGTGCATGCCACCACACCCAGTTTCAGTGTGCCCCCAGGGGCAGGGCCAGCACGGCACACCCGGGGATTGAACTCTGTCGAGGTGATTTAATCTGCTGAGCTATCTGACTGGCCCCATTTTGGAATATTATTCAACTCAAACTAAAGAACTTATTTTCCACTGCCACTTGGTAATATGCTTGTTGTTGGCTGAACAAGTTTCTTCCTTCCAGGGAAAGGAAAAAATGCCATTAAATTGGAAACAGCCTTGGTGATGTTATTTGAAGGGCTGCAGACTTAGACCAAGTCATCTCAGTTCATCTAAACACACCAACAGATGGGGGAAAAAAATCCAACTACAAGCCCACAAGTGGAAATGTGCCCATGTCCCTGTCTAGCTTTCTGTCTGTCACTGCAGTTAGTAAGCACGCTTACATCTTGAAGTGACCCAAAGCATGTGTAAGTCATTGTTCTAAACCTCTTGAATACCATCAAGCAAGCCAGTACTACATTCTGGAGATTTTGTGTTGAATTAATAAACATCTCTACTGACAGGTGCCACACTAGAATATAAATAATAAGCCCATTCAGGGACATGCAAGCAGGCATACACACAGAACAAGCAAAACCCCAAAATGGAAGCTGAGACATTTCTCTCAGAGGAAAAAAAAAAAAAAAAAATAGCCGGGTTTGGTGGTGCACGCCTGTAATCCCAGCACTCAGGAGGCTAAGGTAGGAGGATGATTATGAATTCAAGGCCAGCGTGGGGTACATAGGGAGTTCAAGGCCACCCTGAACCCACAGAGACAGTTGGGCCCTGTCTCAGGGGGGAAAAAAAAAAAGGTATAGTTTGATATGCACTAGGAGCTCCAGTGGTACAGTGGGTTAGCGTGCGACACTTACAGGGTTTAAGATGTGGTTTCCTTTACTTAAGATGGTAAATTCCTCAGTAGGATTTGCTGGGTCCGAGAGCATGGAGAAAATGGGCCCTAACCCACCAGGACTCCTGTCTTCCTAAGAGGAGAGCGTGGTGCACATGTACACAGGCACAGCAGGAAGGCTGCCCGGAGGCCCAGGAAGAAGCAAACCCAGTAGGAGAGGCCCACCAAGCCAGGCAGCCTGTGGGGACCTTGATCTCAGACTCTTCGCCACCAGAATGGTGAGGAGAGAATTTCTATACCTGAAGTCACAAGGGCTGGCTCCAACGTGGCTGCTTCCAACGTGGCTGCCTCACTGAGTTAGAGGTGACTGTGAGTTCCTTTCCTGTCAAAAGGAAGTGCCTGGTGGCTGTGATGGCGCATGCAGGTAGTCTTGGTATTTGGGAGGCTGAGGCAGAAGGATTTCAAGTTTGAAGCCAGTCTAGTGCTGGTGATTCCAATCCATTTCTACTTCTCATTCTGAATTCTCTTAAAACCTTCTTCCCCGTGTTCCCAGACTCTCTGCAGTGA